TTCCTTTTCTGGCCTAGTGCTGTTCTTTTCTACTTTGCGCCGGTCAAACTGAAGGTCACATCGCTACAGAAACTGAACGAAGTATAATACCAGTGTAGTCTATTTGTATATCTAGATGTAGTTCATATAACCTCAACTTTAAACCTTTTTTATAGATATTTAAAATTCTTCCCTTGAGCTTCAACATACCGAGACTCTATTTCAAACTTTAAAATTTTTTTAGTGCCTAGGTTATAGGCTACAGAATGTATTACCTAGAAGTATACCTAAAGTATAAATTAATAAAATATAAACGGTAAAGGTTAATTAATCAATTGAACGTTAAACAGTTGGACAATTGAACAAATGATGGAATCAACACAACTGTTTAAGGCCAAAGAAAATTCAGTCAGTCAACTAACTTTAGGCCATTGTATCAACAAACCCCTTAACGAATCAAACCAGAGGAATCAATCGATATCCAATTAAACATCAAAAGAGAGCATTGTTTTGGATCAATCAGGTTCATTTTTTTTTTATATGAGATTTAATCAGAAATCCTTTGTACATTACAATATATTTGATACTGTATGGCAACACAGGAAGTAAAAAAGTCGTGTTAAAAAAGGTACCGAAGGCATGAAGATGAAATGAAGTGTTAGTCAAATGGGGGTTAGGGCTGCGACTTACTGAAGCGGAAGATATCCCCTGGGACCAAAAGAAATGTCTATGCCATATACTTTTATTTCGGACATTTCTATTTTTATATTTCGTATACTTTTTCGAAAAGATTCCCGTGCGACAAAACCGCAAAAAGACGTAATTATTAATGGCTGACCTTCCCTTACACAACGCTTTAAATTAATACGCGTGAATTATAAGTGAAATTCATCACAACGAATTATTTCGAAAACTCTCATTTAAAAAAAAAGAAAGTTAGTAGTATTTTAATCTTCAATTTTGCTTAAAATTTTTGAAAACAGCAAATTAAGATTATAAATTAAACTCTAATAATTTTACATTCTAAACATTTCAAAGATGTAAATTCTCTATTAGATAAGAAAAGAAAAGCTTTTGTCTTTGTCTATTACAATAAAAATTCATTTTTCGTGCTAATTTTTAACAGCAATTTTATATTTTCTTTAATTAAGTTTAATTATAATCATAATAATTAACTAATCTATTTACCTATCATAGTACTTTAATTGATTTTAATTTGTAGAGTAATAATAATAATGCATTTACCACTATAAATCTTAATCTACAACGATCAAATTACAAATTGTGTTGGACCATCCAAAAATAAAAACCGAAATTCGTTCACCTACTTACGTCAGTTTAGACACCGTTTGAGATAAGGAAATGTCTTACCTGCGTGTGTTTTGTAGGAATCGTACTGTTTCTTGATATCAGCTTCGTCATTATTCCTCCAGTAGTTTCTATGCCGAGCGATAAGGGAGCTATGTCCAGGAGCAAAACGTCCCGTACCATGTCCGATTTATCTCCTGTAAGGATCGCAGCCTGGACGGCTGCGCCGTAGGCAACTGCCTCATCTGGATTAATCGTCTTGTTAAGTTCTTTCCCTTGAAACAAATCCTGGAGTAACTGTTGCACCTTAGGAATCCGAGTTGAACCACCTACCAGTACTACTTCGTCTATCTGAAAGGAAATACGAATGTAAGACACTGACGATGGCTATCACCTTCAATTACAATTATCGGTTGGAAGAAATCGAAAAGATCGATTATTTAAGTTAATCTAACTTAAACTGTCTACGATTAATGGATTATCGATAAACCAATTAAATTTCAATTAATAAAGAATTTACCTAACCTTTAATCCTTTAATGTAAGATTGCATATTCAAAACGTAATAAGGACCTAATCCATATTACCAACAAAATGAATGCTTTTGACTTAATAAAGTACTAAAAACGGTGAAAATATGAAGATTGGAAAAACTTTGGCGGTTGTTGTAGAACAAACAATTTACCGAAAAGTGCTTCGGACAACTAAAGTGTCGTGTTTTGGCGTTGGGGTTTGAGCTATAGGGTTGTTCGGAAAGTCATTTCGTTTTTTGTTGTGGAAATGAAAGACAGTTTTCGTATAACAAACAAATACTTTATTAAATTATATATTGACCGTTCTGGTCCAACACCTTTTGCCATCTTTCTGGTAGTAGCATAATTCCACGCTCATAAAATTTTTGGTCTTTGCTGGCAAAAAACTGATCGAGGAGGTTTTTGACCTCCTCATTTGAGGTGAAGGTTTTACCGTCTAAAAAATTTTGGAGTGACCGGAACAAATAATAATCCGATGGTGCCAGGTCTGGAGAATATGGTGGGTGTAGCATTGTATCCCATTCAAGCTGTAAAAGCTTTTGGCGAGTGACCAAACTTGTGTGAGGTCTCGCGTTGTCTTGGTGAAACACTACACCTTTCCTGTTGATTAGTTCTGACCTTTTCTGTTGAAGTGCATCATTCAGTTTGTCCAGCTGATGACAGTAGACTTCCGAATTAATCGTTGTGTTATCCGGTAAAAGCTAAAAAAAAACGATTCCTTTAAAATCCCACCAAACAGACAGCATCACCTTTTTTTGGTGAATATCGGCTTTGGAAATGGTTTGAGCCGGTTCATCTTTTTTGCTCCATGACCTCTTGCGTTTGACGTTGTTGTATACAACCCATTTTTCGTCCCCAGTGATGATGCGCTTCAAAAACGGATCATTTTCGTGACGTTTGAGAAGCGAATCGCAGACGTCAATGCGGCGACACAGATTTCTCTCTGTGAGAACATGGGGAACCCATACATCGAGCTTCGAGGATAATCCCAGGCCTTTCAAGTGGTCATAAACTGTTGAATTTGATAAATTTAACCTCAATCCGATCTCACGTGTTGTTATTCGCCGGTTCACATCAACTAATGCCTTTATCGCGTCTTTATCAGCTTCAACCGGCCTTCCCGAACGTGGTGCATCTTCGACATCAAAATTGCCGGATCGAAATTTAGCGAACCAGTTCTGGCACTGGCGTACTGTCAACACACCTTCTCCATACACATCAGTCAATTTCTTTCTGGCTTGAACAGCATTTTTACCCTTTCTGTAGTAAAACAGTAAGATATGTCGAAAATGCTGCTTATCGCTCTCCATATTTAAAAGGGCACCAACCAAAAACTACTGCGTAGAATTAATTGGAATTTTTCACACACAAGCCTTGCTATATGAGCTCTCAAAGCATATAAAAATTATACGGCTTAAATGTGAAGTTGGGTGCAAAAGAATACAATTAAATCCTCTGTCGGGAAAAAACGAAACGACTTTCCGAACAACACGATATTTTGCTTGCTCAAAAACGATGGTCCACGCAAACCAAATTTCAACAATTAATTCAGGCTGTTTGCAAAAAAATTTGAGCATTATTTATATAAAACATCTAAACAATAATATACAACAGTTTAAGCAAAAATTTTTTCGGTCTGAAGATGGTTGAATAAATCGAAACGTTTCAAAAAACATAAAGTTATCTAATTACTTGACCACCACCCTGGAAAAAACTACATAATATACAACAGTGTTTTCAGATGTATTTAGTTCAGCTTTCGTAAAAATTATACCTATTATTTGTGATGTCTGTTAGGGTTAATTTACTTTCAAAGGTTTTAATGAGCTATCGCAGCGATTACTTATGGTTTGGAAAAGTTCTCGTTGTCTATTGGATTCTGTCGACAAAAGGACATTGCGTTCGTTACCAAAACAATCGAACCTTATTTTTAGCAAGCTTCGCGTCTCTGAGAGCCTTCTCGACAGGTTCTAGGGTCCTTCTCAAGATATCGTTATTCAGTTCCTCAAATTTGGCTCTCGTGATGGTGCTGTATAGGTCGATTCCGTTCACCAAGGAGTCAATTTCGATGTTCGCTTGAGTGGTTATCGATAGGGCTCTTTTCGCCCTTTCGCATGCCGTCACGAGACGGCGCTTCGCCCTTTTGTTGTCTGAAATGATTCCGACAGAAAATTACAAACGACCGGATATTATATTTCGTCATAAACGATCACTACGTACATCGGAGGGTGCGGTGGAGAGAAGACGGGAGGAGGAGTACGACATGTTCGTCGGAAGTGAAAGTGATCGATGTGTGTAATTGCGTGAGGAATTTGTATGCTTTTTCTAATAACACTTCCTTCAGGAGGGGTTGTAACCGAAGGGCAAATTTTCGTTGAATATTAGAGGGTGCTCTTTCTATTATTGTTTTTATTCAAGGGATACTTGATTTTAGTAACTTTTGAATATATTCAACTTTCTTTGTTCAAGATGGCCCAATTATGAAAAAATTATATGACAAAATCGAGGCGAAGGTTTTCTAAGAAATTGTTTTTATAAATGTATAGTTTCTGAGCATAGTAATCGAGAACAGCTACTGAATTTGGTCAGGAAAAACTCCTCATGCCCTCGTGGGGCGGCATAGATGAGGATCCAACTTTAGTGCTTTTTGTACTAAACAGAAATTGGCAAATTTTCGATGCATACCAGAGGGTGCTCTTTCTATTATTGTTTTTATCCAAAGTTTTACTTAATTTTAGTAACTTTTGACTATATTCAACTTTTTTTTGTTTGAAATGGCTTAAAATAGGCCAGTTATGAAAAAATTACATGACAAAATCGAGGGAAAGGTTTTCTAAGCAATTTTTTTGTAAATATATATATAGTTCCTGAGCATAGCACTCTGGAAGAGCTACTGAATTTGATTAATTCTAAACTTTTTTCTGCGGGCTTTTTCTACCCCATTTCATAGGTGAGGATCCAAATTCAGTACTTTTTACGCTAAACAGCAATGGGTAATACCATAACTAACTTTGTCCAATTAAAAATATTGTCAAAGACAGTAACTACAATTGCAATACTATTGACAAAATACTCAGCAAAATATAATTTAAGAATCTCATTGCAACATTTTCAACTTTTCAAAAATACGCCATCAAAATCAATCGTACTGCAATGTCATCCGAGTCGAGCCTTACTCGAGGACTTAACGGTATTTTGCGTAAGATTGGTTCAAACTCTTTTCGGTGACGCTAAGAATAAAATAAATGAAATTCCTTCTCTAGAAAAGCCGCGGATATCCAAATGAAGTTTATTGTAAAGATTGCAGTAAGAAATACGAGGGTGGATTGATAAGTTTCCGGCCTAACCAAGAGATGACGCCACTAGGCCTACCTTGAGGTGACATTCTATAGTACCATCCTTGGATAGCTTGTAGNGGGGGAAGAACTACTATATAAAAAGAATAATTGTTTAATAAAACTCTAGATTACTCCACAATCATTAAAGAGTGTGTAAGGGAAGTTATTGTGAGTCACGGGACGTGGGGGTAAATACAATATTAGAAAACAGGACTGGAATATTTTGTTTTTGTTTATACAAATATGAGAAGTGGTTGTTAATGTGAATTTGAAATAAGAGATTCAAAATATAAAAAGATTCCCTATTCCTGCGGTTCCCGAATTTTGTTCCGGGAAAGGTCCACAGAGCTTCCACGAGATACTACATTTTTTGTCCTAAAAAAATATACAAAATTCTGCAGATAGTAATTGTTTCAGTAACAGTATGTATCCCTGTCTGACTCCCTTCGTAATATTTACTTCTCTACGTTGCAGCCCCAGCTCTATAACTGCCTGTTGCTCTTTATACAAACTAAGTATCACTCTTCTATCTCTGTAACTCATCCCTATATTTCTTTTTTTCTATACTAATATAATGTGAACACTAAATTCGTGCAATAAAGATTTTGAATTCAAAATTCAAGTTGAAGATTACAATACATAGGTCTATTAATTGATTAATATCCTAAGCGATGGTTGCAGGACATATGCGATGCAATACATGCATGCAATACCGATTATGTTACAAATAGTTGCAGATACGTATTAAGGCACGATGGTGCGATCAAATGGAATATGTGTACTAAAATATCGACTGACCGTTTTATCGAGTCCATAAGCGATCGCTGCGGCAGTGGGTTCGTTGATGATCCTAAGAACCTCGAGACCGGCTATTGTGCCCGCGTCCTTCGTAGCCTGCCGCTGTGAATCGTTGAAATACGCGGGCACCGTAATGACCACCCTCGACACTTTGCATCCCAAATACTTTTCCGAAATCTCCTTCATTTTGCTTAGCACCATCGACGAGATCTCTTCCGGATAAAAGGTTTTCGTTTCGCCTTTGTACTGGACCTTGATCTTCGGTCTGCCCTTTTCGTTTATTACCTCGAACGGCCAATGACGTATATCCTGCTGGACGGTAGTCTCCGCGAATTTCCTGCCGATTAACCGTTTCGCGTCTGAAAAATATTCTGTCCGTTTTATTATTGCATTATCACCCCGTATATGGGGTCGTAGAACCAAAAATATCGCTTGTCCTACATTATAGGCACGACTTTTACGGGATGTAATGGCCGGACACCAACACACATGAATATACTTACAAAAAAATGGACAGACAGACACACAGGGCACCGTTTTTTATTCGGAACCACGGAACCCTAACCCGAGAACTAATTTTACATTGTACATGCAAACTACAAAAGTAATTTGTGCACCATAGATTTCTTATTAGTTTTCCTGTAATTCATAAATAAAGAACTATTTTCTGTATTTTTTTCAAAACTTTAGGTTCAGTAGTTTCCGAGATAAGTCTGGTTGCCGTAAAAAAAATGAATGATACGTCGTTAACCCCTACTTTAAGTGCGATTATGTTGGATATGTATATATAAAATGTTAAGCAAGCTTTTGACCCTCTTTTACCGTGATATATCTTTATTGAAATGTATTCATTACCCAAAACGTCAACCCTATGTTTTCTTTTGAATTCATTCGCGAAATACTCCATCAGCCTGTTGTCTATGTCTTCTCCGCCGAGATGTGTATCGCCTGCTGTAGCTTTCACCTCAAAAATACCACTGTCAATACTTAATATCGAAACATCAAATGTTCCACCACCCAAATCAAATATGAGCACGTTTCGTTCAAGTGCATCCTAAAAGAAAAAGTAAATCTACAAAAAGGACAAAAGATATATCTTTTTTCCTTTATTTTTCATTAAAATAATTGCAAGCATCGGTTTTTTCCATTTCGCCATGTTCCAATTTGAACTTTATAGATTTGAATTGCATATCTAGACCAAAAAATGTAATTGGAAATATTATTTCATTGGTGATATCAATTAAATAACCATGGGCATTTTAATTACATTACGTTCGCTTTTGTTAAATGTGCATCCAGGCAATTTTAAATGATAAATGTCGTAATTTATTATTTATATATGTTGAAACATATTATTCTTCCTTTAAAATAATATCATGACAAAGAGTGTTACAGAAAAAATTGTTCTTTTACATAAACATATATTAAAAATATAATATTTTAGGCAAATCGTAGGGGCACATTTTGATGGACATATTAATTTTGTACGTGTCAGTAACAGTAATGACTTCATTGCGTTAGTGGTTGAAGAGTTACAAGGACAACTTCTAGATTACGTGCTGAATATTATATATAAAAAAAAATATGAATGCTGTCAGCACAGGGCAAAGTAGTATTACGTAAATGAAAGTTAGTNAGTGTAATATTATATAGATATAAAAGAAATTATGAGTACTGTCAGCACGTGGCAAAGTAGTATTAGGTAAATGAAAGTTAGTATCAGCAATTTCTTATGTTGAAGTGCACGATGTGTTGCATACCTATTTACAAACAATTCCTTTAAATTTTAATCATCGATTACTATACATCTATTAAAAAACCATAATGGCCGACATCAGTGACAATGCGACAACAATTGAAAAAGAATGATGGCCGACAACAGCAACAATTAGAAAAGAATGATGGCCGACAACTGCAACAATTAGAAAAGAATGATGGCCGACACTACGTCATAGTGAAACACAAAAAATTGTCAGGGGGAAGAACTACTATATAAAAAGAATAATTGTTTAATAAAACTCTAGATTACTCCACAATCATTAAAGAGTGTGTAAGGGAAGTTATTGTGAGTCACGGGACGTGGGGGTAAATACAATATTAGAAAACAGGACTGGAATATTTTGTTTTTGTTTATACAAATATGAGAAGTGGTTGTTAATGTGAATTTGAAATAAGAGATTCAAAATATAAAAAGATTCCCTATTCCTGCGGTTCCCGAATTTTGTTCCGGGAAAGGTCCACAGAGCTTCCACGAGATACTACATTTTTTGTCCTAAAAAAATATACAAAATTCTGCAGATAGTAATTGTTTCAGTAACAGTATGTATCCCTGTCTGACTCCCTTCGTAATATTTACTTCTCTACGTTGCAGCCCCAGCTCTATAACTGCCTGTTGCTCTTTATACAAACTAAGTATCACTCTTCTATCTCTGTAACTCATCCCTATATTTCTTTTTTTCTATACTAATATAATGTGAACACTAAATTCGTGCAATAAAGATTTTGAATTCAAAATTCAAGTTGAAGATTACAATACATAGGTCTATTAATTGATTAATATCCTAAGCGATGGTTGCAGGACATATGCGATGCAATACATGCATGCAATACCGATTATGTTACAAATAGTTGCAGATACGTATTAAGGCACGATGGTGCGATCAAATGGAATATGTGTACTAAAATATCGACTGACCGTTTTATCGAGTCCATAAGCGATCGCTGCGGCAGTGGGTTCGTTGATGATCCTAAGAACCTCGAGACCGGCTATTGTGCCCGCGTCCTTCGTAGCCTGCCGCTGTGAATCGTTGAAATACGCGGGCACCGTAATGACCACCCTCGACACTTTGCATCCCAAATACTTTTCCGAAATCTCCTTCATTTTGCTTAGCACCATCGACGAGATCTCTTCCGGATAAAAGGTTTTCGTTTCGCCTTTGTACTGGACCTTGATCTTCGGTCTGCCCTTTTCGTTTATTACCTCGAACGGCCAATGACGTATATCCTGCTGGACGGTAGTCTCCGCGAATTTCCTGCCGATTAACCGTTTCGCGTCTGAAAAATATTCTGTCCGTTTTATTATTGCATTATCACCCCGTATATGGGGTCGTAGAACCAAAAATATCGCTTGTCCTACATTATAGGCACGACTTTTACGGGATGTAATGGCCGGACACCAACACACATGAATATACTTACAAAAAAATGGACAGACAGACACACAGGGCACCGTTTTTTATTCGGAACCACGGAACCCTAACCCGAGAACTAATTTTACATTGTACATGCAAACTACAAAAGTAATTTGTGCACCATAGATTTCTTATTAGTTTTCCTGTAATTCATAAATAAAGAACTATTTTCTGTATTTTTTTCAAAACTTTAGGTTCAGTAGTTTCCGAGATAAGAGGGCAAGGGGGTGGTGAATGGCCAATTTTCATCTATTTCCTTAAATAACTTTAAAACTATTTCCATTTATTTTAAAATTATAAAACATTATTTTTGAGACCCTTATAACAAGCCCTTTCATTTGATATGTCACACGGTACAATTTAAAAAACTTTTCTTTTTCAATTTATTATTAGCCTCCGAAAAATGACCCTCAAGTTCAAAAATAATTTAATTTCGTTATGCGTCCGTGTTTGGGTCACAAATATTCACATGTGTACTAAATTTCAACTTAATCTGTCCTGTAAATTCGAAGCAAATTGACTATGACAGACGAACATACAGACACACGAGTGATCCTACAGGACTTCCATTTTTGATTCGGACGTACGGAACCCTACAAAAGACTACTAAATTTAAATTTTCTAAAGTCTATAATTTTGATCATAGTTTTCCTGAAATAAGTACGTTTAATTGAATTTTATTTAGACAGTTTTAAATTCATTACGTTAGGGATTTCAAGGAAAATCAACATCTCGAAATATATTTGGTGTTGTCCAATACATCCATGAATCAAAATGTTATAGGTATATTTTTTTAAGTTTTCAAGAGTTTAAGGATTGTTCATCAAACACATCTTCCTACCGTTTCCTTTACTATCAAACAATAATTCTGTGTGCATTCTACAATAAAAATGTTGAACTCGTCGCTTTCACGCTTGAGCTGAATCAATTGAGAAAGCAAAGCAGGTCTTAAAAAGGAGTCAAGAGTCGTCTATTTTTCATCACTACACCCCTCGTTTAATAAAAGGGTCAGTAAATGCATACTAAGAATATTTTTTCGTTTAATATTCTCCACCGAAACAGATTAATGTCGTGCTTTATCATGTTGAAAATCCCTTCCGCCTCATCGAAATACATTCTATCCTATAAGAAGGAAAACTGACCTCAATATATTTTTTATCGGGCCGTTTTGTATGAATATCTTTATACCATTCTTCTAATCTTCACAAATTTTCTGCTGTATTGGTCACAAGAAATCGGTCGACCGTCGACAAAAGTGCTTCTGCAGATATAATTTATTGTAGATTTCGTACAATAAAATCGAAATATTCGAACATGGGTTTGGTAGGTAAAATTTCTAATATTAATTTTATTTAGACTGGTCGCTTATAACGAAGAAATACATCGAGTAATCATGGGAATTATGAATCGTTTATAAGGAGGTTTAAAATACTAAATAATACTAAAGTTTAAATAAATAAATAAAAAAAAACCGATTATTTGTTTATTTGTTTATTACTGTTTCACACCTTTACTTCTCAGCCGATCATCATGAAATTTGGTACATATATTATCACGGGTACAGGAAAGAACATAGGGTACCTTTTATCCAGAAAGAAAATACTATTCCCGAGGGATAGGAAAAATTAGTTTTATGAGGTCGTCGATTATTTTTGATATGTATTTAGGACATGAACGAGAGCGAAGCCGCGGGTAGATCTAGTATAAAATTCAATGCCTACCATTAACTAGGTCCGAATGTTAACATAAAAGCAGTTTACTGAATTCTAATACATACCTACATAATATTACGTTTAATGTTCAAGTTACAGAAATCTCGTAGCAAACTTGATTATTGCTTAGAGATAACGTTGAAAGATGAAACCAACCGGTAAATAAACGGGTACTTGGAAAAGGGAAAATTAAGTTATACATATATATATATATATATGTGTGTGTGGGTGTGTGTTTACACATCCAGGGCTAGCACTATTAGTATTCCGAACACGTTACCCTTATTTGGTTCACGTCCTTCAGTGTCCTTCTCTCCTTGATGTTTATTTCCACTTTTTTTTTGGTCATATAACATAAATAATAATTTTGTTCCTCATCGTAAATAAAATATGGCCCAAAGAATGAATGAAACTTAAATTAAATGAAAATACAATTTGACTCCAACAGAAAAATTAAACTATTTTATCTCAAATATGACGATATGAAAAAGAAAATGGGTAGTATTGCGGTTTTTGAAAATATTTTCACTCCCTGCAAAATTTTGGAAAGAAAACACAGGATGGTATTTCTTTATTAAAAAATATTGAATGGATATTGCACTCGTAGAAAAGTAAAGTTCAGAATATTATATATAAAAGAAATTATGAATGCTGTCAGCACAGGGCAAAGTAGTATTACGTAGTTAGTATCAGCAATTTCTTATGCTGAAGTGTACGACGTGTTACATACCTATTTAATCATTGATTACTATACATCTATTAAAAAACCATAATGGCCGACATCAGTGACAATGCGACAACAATTGAAAAAGAATGATGGCCGACAACAGCAACAATTAGAAAAGAATGATGGCCGACACNATGGCCGACATCAGTGACAATGCGACAACAATTGAAAAAGAATGATGGCCGACAACAGCAACAATTAGAAAAGAATGATGGCCGACACTACGTCATAGTAGAGCAATAAAAATGACCGACTATTGACAATACGAATAAACGTAGAACTAATATCTTTTTTTAATGATTATTATTTAAAGAAAAAACTTAAATGCCTACCATAAACTGTATTCTCTGGGTTAACAGCAGCTTGATTTTTAGCAACATCCCCTACTAAACGCTCAGTATCTGTAAATGCTACATAACTCGGGGTTGTTCTATTTCCTTCTTCATTTGGAATTATTTGTACTTTTTCATTAGTAAAGTACCCCACACAAGAATACGTCGTTCCCAAATCTATTCCAATAGCTGGCGATTTTGGAACACCTTTACTACTTCCAGGCTCCATTTTTCTAGCCATTTTTAACAATTAATTTTTCTGTTTTTTTACAGTATTTTAATTTTTTTATCAAAACAAAGAATTTGAAAATGACATCAGAAAATATTGACGTTTTACATTAACCTCATATTTTGATGTAAAATGATATGTACATGGGAAGCTGGCCAGGGGATTATATTAATGAGTAAAAGATCAGTTTGGTAACCCATGAGTTTGTCTTTTATCCCTTTTCTACAATCACTTTTGTTACTTTTATTAATATTTGGAGATAAGGTCGTCAGCCCTAAGAATGGTTGGACACGCACCTCTACTCTTTCCAATCCTGAGCTAAACTTCGCATTTCCCTAAAACTAGAACATCCCACATCCTTAACTATTTGCGAAGAGTAATCTAATCTAGGTCTACCTCTACCCCTCCTAACTCCTGTTTCTGCTTCTAACATGTCTCTGACTAATCCTTCATGCCTGAGAAGGTGTCCTACCAACCTATCTCGCCTATTTCTTATTGACTTCCAAAGAAGATAACATTTTTATAATAATTTCGTAAGAACGGGACGAAAAAGAAATTTATTTATTTTCAGTATCGCTTTTTGAAAAAATTCGATGGCATAATTTTGTTATATATAGAGGCATATTACTTCATCAATGCGTGTTGATGACACAGAGAGATACAAATTGAATTTCACCAGAAGCATTGATAGAATAAAACAATAAAAGAACAAAATCTAATTGGGACAACCGCATAATCTTACGTTACTGGTTCCGTTGAGCTACGAGTTTATGTTTATTTCATATTTTTGAAAGAACAATAATTTAGGATTTAAGAGTGTATAAATCTGAGAAGAAACGCTTGGTAATGTTACAGTAACAATAATAATTTATTACTGTTATTTGACAGCTGTTTCGATGTTTAAATCACAATCAAATACAGTAATAATGGCTGATGCAACAAAACAGTTGTCAAACAACAGTCCTACGTTTTTAAAATTCAAACGAGCGAAGGAAGATCCTATCGGGAATTGCAAATTTTCTAAAAAAAGTTATGTTATAAGTAGAGGTAGTTGAGGATCCCATGAACCTTCGCGATAACTCCGCCCATTCATTGATTTCTATCTCTTAAAAAAAATAGTCGTCACTGTTAACAACTATTTATATATAAAGAGCTCCAATCCCCGATTTATAGCGAGGAATATGGTTAGCAGCCGAGTTAATGTTTTCGTAATGTGCAATATGAATGCAACAGGGTCAGTCTCTCTCTCTTGCATGTGAGGCTCATGAGTTTTTGAACTAGCTATACATATACGTAGGTAGGTAACAATACGGCATATATGTCATGAGGGGTATTATTTAAAGGAGAGAATTTTTTTATAATCTTGGGTAGAATATAACAGTAAGTATCTTCAAAAAAATATACACCAAAACAGTTTTTTTTTACAGAAAGCTACAATACTTGGCTTTAACTTGAGTTCTAAATCGCAGCATTTTCTCTGTTCGATGAGATTTACAAGAAAAGCTTATCAAAATCAAATATCCACTTGTTAGCCTAACATTCTATATTTGTCCGTCTGTAAGTTGGTCGTTGGGTAAATACAAAACTCTACCGAATTCTCCTGCTGCAGCAGCTCATGACAGCTCCGAGTAATTCATTGTGTGCGCTCTGAAAGATATCAGATCTTATCCCGAAGCGATAGATACGGAATCAGCAAGTTATAGGAACTTGAGCTGCAGTGCAAATGTTGACAGTTTCCATGGCTGTTTGCTTTGAATCTTACGTCGTCTTGAGGCGTACTTCGCTATACTGATAATTAATTATTGTTTGACAATTGCATGTACACTTCATTTGAAGAGAATTGTTGCGCTTTTGAGATTGAGGCAGGGAGACGAGTTCGAAAACAGAGGAAATTACTTTTAAGGCGAATCCAGATGAAGAACATAACACGGAGAAAATGAAAAACGAAAATTTACCTAAATATTATAGCGATATTTACAATTTATCCCACTAGCCCGTTGCCTCGCAAGGGAAAATAATAAAAATTATAATTTGGACCCGAATTTGTAAAAATAAAATCCCAGCAGAAATAAATTTACTAGGTACAGTGTAAACTCTTTATAACGTCAGTCGATTTAACGACAAACTCTTTAAAACGTCGAAATTGCTTGACTTTGGTTGGTTTACATTGTTTTCTATACAATACTACACTCTATATAGCGTCACGCTCACTCTGTTTAACGACGAAAATGCGGCATTATAAATCATTAAGCAGTACTTTCTAAGTTGCCGAAATAGATAAGAACTGCAGCTGTGTACGTTTGTTCAAGAAGACGATCCTGTCCCTCCATCAAGCATCAAACAAGCACTTGATGCAGCGAAACTATTAAAAAAATACTTTTTATATAATCAAATTGATCCAGCAGTATCTCAAGATATGAGTAAGATACGTAACAAAATACAATTAAAATATTGGAGCAGCAAAAAACATC